GATTGAACATCTGTGGAGTGATCTGAAGAGAGCTGTGCATAGGAGATGCCCTCGCAATCTGTCAGATTTGGAGCAATTTTGCAAAGAAGAATGGGCAAATATTGCAACATCAAGATGTGCCAGACTCATAGACACTTACCCAAAAAGACTGAGTGCTGTAATTAAAACCAAAGGTGCTGCAACAAAGTATTAGTTTAAGGGTGTGCATACTTATGCAACGAGGTTGTTTTAGGTTTTTATTTTTCCCTCGTGAAGATTTCAGTTTGTTTTTCAATTGCCTATTACGTGTTATGGGTCACATTAAAAGTGGAAAAAGTTATGAAATGATTTATGCTTGTGTCTTTTCTTTACATCACAAAAACCTGGCTTTGAAGAAGGGTGTGTAGACTTTTTATATCCACTGTATCCCACCTTCCTTAGACTCCTCTGGAGGTTCTGCTGCTGCTCTGCATCCCTGTCGTCAACCCAGACAAAGAAGACAAGAACTGAAGACGTCCCCTAAACTGCCTCCACCTCATCACTGCTCCACTGGTGTCTGTGCTCACCTTCCAGTCGGCAGCATGTAAGTATGCAATCCTGTAGCAAACACATTGAAAAGAGAACATGTGATGTTATTACCCTACAGCCCCCTCACCACCTCCCTGTTTTATTCTTTTGACCAGATGGAACCAACATGATCCAATGACAGTTCCCTCTCTGGCTCTTTACTCTGTTGTTGGGAGTATTTCTATCTGCCATAGTTTTCTGCTCCACCACCAATGACTGCCCTCCTAAATATCACTCAGTAAGTATACCGTGCTGTACGCAGGTATTGGATAGAAATAGCAGAAACCTCTCACCCCCTCTAAAGTTGAACATTTTGGTGTTATTGCCTCAGTAAATCTCTGAAGGGAGGCTGTCTCCATGGGTTATAGATACATCCATCCATTTTCATCCGCTTATCCGTTACCGGGTCGCGGGGGGTTATAGATAAGAGGATGAAATCATGTATGATAAGATGAAGACTTAAAAGATGGGTGGTTAAAGGGATGGGTACGTTTTAAAAAAGAAAATACCATAAATACCTATCTACAACTCCTGTAAGTAATAAAACTTACTAAGTGAGGTGGAGACAAAGTGAAACCCAACAGTTGACATGCTGCTGTGAAGATTTGAGTCAACTTTTAACTAATTCCTCATGTGTTCTGACTACATGAACAAAGGTGAGCCAATTTAATTGAATAAACAAACAAACAAAAATTTGAGCTTAATTATTAAAAATGCTCAAGTCGTGTTTGGTGACAACATTCACCATGACTTTGTAAATTCATACTCTGATCAGGGCAACAAACAGCATCAGTATAAAACAGTTAACAAAACTGGAAAGAATATGTAATGTCTTGTTAGACATCCATAGTACTGAAAATGTCCAAGAGACTAAATGTTCTAAGATCAATGTTATGATTTCAAAAGTTGTCTGATTTTAATAACTCAAACTCTTAAATACATGTCTCTCAGGCATCTCCAACGACGTTGACAAGTATTGTGTCTTTGTCAAACTTGTTAAGCACTGAAATCAGAGCTAACATACTGTTATTGTGACTTTGTCCTGTTTGTCTTTTCTCCAGCTCTTTGCTCTCTTCGGGTTCATAGTCAGTGCAGTGTTGATCAGTGCAATGGCCTCTGAAGTGGTCAGTCTTCTGCACATGCTTGGTGTGGTGCTGAGCCTCAGTAACACTGTGCTGGAGCTCACACTGTTGGCCTGGGGCATAGCAGGTGATATTAATGCAACTCTATGTCCTGACATAAATGTTTCTGTACCTTACAGATTTCAAAGATGTTTGTGACACAATTTTTTTATATTTTCTGCCACATTGGGAAAATTGTGCTGATTTGTAACATTTTGTACTTTGTTTAATGTGAATATCAGTTTCATACGAATTAGTGTTTTAGATGAAGTTCATGAGATTTAAAGTTGTCTGAATGTAACATGGGCATGTTCATCAGAAGATGTTACTGGTTGTAAAAATGTTCCCTGTAACATTTAGGTGAGATATTAAATTAGTTGAAATATGCATTGTTGTTAATTATCTCTGAATGTGTACCATGTTGAATCATGTTTTTACCTTAGTCAACAACAAAAACTGAACACACATTATGTACAGTAATAACTAAAGGCAGACAGCAATAACAGTTCTCTAAATGCTTGATGAGAAGTGTTGGGTGAAGGGGCTTCAACCACACCATCTAAGGTCACCACCAGGTGTTGCTAACCCCTACACACTGTAGGGCAGGTGGCTACAACCAAGTCTGATGTGCAGGTAAGTTCATCCTCAGAACCACAAATGAGAAATGTAAGATTTAGAACAAATTACCTATGATGCTCGTTTTTCCTCCAAAGATTGAACCTTTTTTCAGGTTTGCTGACATGGGTCCTGGCAGGATTTCTGGGTTTGTCTCTGGTTCTGTCCTTCGTCATTGTTTCACTCAGCAAGTTCCACCTGGGTAGGTCCTACAGGATTTTCCTCATCATTTTCTATTTCCTCTTCCTCCTCATTGCGCTGCTGACGGAGTTTGGCAATATCCGAATGGTATGAGACCGAAAACTAAAGCCAGGTTTGAAATAATGTGAAACAGAGACACTGGAACTGACACTGTACTGAGTGCAGATGAGTAAGGACGTCTTTTGCACAGCTTATATTAATATACACATCGATGCACTTTTCATAGAATAATTAACACTTGCCTCCTACATAGCTATGCTGTGTTTGGAAACCAAGCAGCAAAGGAAATGACAATAAAACTACATTCTCTGCTCAGTCAGATCTGACGTTAGTCACACTGTGCCTTAATTCAGCATCTTCTTTGTGCTGACACGAGCTGAGATGGTACTTTGACAGAATAAAATATTGTTTGTTTCATAAATATAGCTAGTAAACTCTCAAAATGTTAAAGAAAATAAACATGTATTTATAAGCTCTGATAATTGCATTTTGTCTGTGTAGGTTTTCAGTCATTCAGGTCATCTTATCCAAAAATAGTTACATCGAGGGTAACTGGTCGGAGTAGGATTTTTTGAAGACGTTTCACCTCTTTATTTCGCAAGGTTTTAATTGCTTATGGCATTTTGTGTACTTTGTAGACTGTCAGCGGAAGCAAACCATGTAGCCTTCAGTATTTAGTGTTAGTGAGATGAGGTGTATCCTAAACAGAAACATGGTGAAAAGTATCCAAATTATTGAGATGTTGTCTAAGTGACGTTCGGTTGGTGGGACTACTTCTTCTTCCGCCTGAGTGTGTGCCTCATGCGTAAGCACAGGGGCTCTACTCCGTGCTCTCACTCAGTCACTATTGATGGGAATTTCGGTTCTTTTTTAGAGAACCGGTTCTTTTGGCTCGGTTCACTGAAAAAATGGCAAATGTCTCCTCAGATTATTTTTTTTTAATTTTAATTTTGTTTTACAAATAAAATGTTTTCAGAGTTTGAAACATTGTTTTGACATATTTTATATGATTGTGTTCTCA